GGGGGGGGGGTGAATTAATGCAGTGGATTAAAACTCGTAAGTTTGAAAACGATTTCGTAAATGTGTAGAGATTTCGATGCGACAAAGAATAACTTATTAAAAGTAGCTCAAGTAAAGTAAGGAGATGAAAACCAAAAACTTGCTGCTATGTAAATAAAGGTTTCAGAAAGTTAAAAACTCACACATTCAAGGAACACACCAATTTAAAGTGGTTCGGTCAAATGACCTACATCCACTTGCGAAGCCTTCTTCAATGAGGCTCCCAACTTCCACTAGCAAATCACTTTGAAGGGAAAGGACCAAATACCCCTCTTACAACCTTTTTACAAGTGGTTCACACTCTTACAGATTTTTCAAAGAGAAAGAGGGAGGTGAACACTTAAGCTATTGAAAACAAGACTTTGCTAAAGCTTTTTCTTAATTTCTAACTTCTCAAAAGGTGTGTTCTCTGCTAAGAATTGAGGGGTATTTATAGAACCCAAGAGGATTCAAATTTGGGCTCCAAATTTTGAATTCCTTTGGGTTCCCGGAGCTGGCGGTGCCACCGCCTGTCAATGTCACATTGACCGTCTACTGGCGGTGCCACCGCCCGACCTTTCGGGTGCTAGGCGGTGCCACCTCCCGATCCTTCGGGTTCTAGGCGGTGCCACCGCCCAGTCTGGCAGTGCCACCGCCCGTCCTTACGGGTCACTGGTTGGGCTCCAAATTTGGCCCAAACCAATTCATATTAGGGCCCAATTGGCCCCTAACTAGGTTATAGGATTAACTCTTAATCCTAACCCTAATTACATACAAACTATGAAATTAAGACATAGTCCTAAGCAGGTTTTTTAACCTGCAACGTCGAGTTTCCTTCCGATGAGCTTTTCGGTGATCTTCCAGTGGACTTCCGATTTCTTCCGGCGGACTCCCAGTAGGCTCCCGATCTTATGGCGAGTTTAGTGAGTCTTTGGCAAGAAGCCGAATCTTCTCGGTGATCTCCGCGAACCTCCGACGATCTCTTCGACGGACTTCCGAAAACTTCGGCAAGTCCCCGATTTCTTCTCGGTTGGTTCCGGCAGCACTTCCGACGAATCTTCGGACTCTCAACGGACTCTCGAACACCCATCGAACTTGACTCCGGTAGACTTGCTTTATGTCTTCGAGCTATCATAGTTAATCATGCACACTTAACTCAATAATATGGATTAGATCAATTAACCCATCAATTGATTTCATCATCAAAATCCGAGATTTAACAATGATGAACCCGATCATAATTCTAGTTCTTTTACTAGATTCATGAAAAAACGAGGTATTTGTGCTCAATATGTTTTACCAGATGTTTCACAGCAAAACGAGATTGTTGAAAGATGAAACCGTACTCTTATGGATATGGTTAGAGCATAATGAGTAATTCTTCTATACTCGAATCAATTGAGGAGAAGCACAAAGGATGGTTATGTATATATTGAACAGAGTTCTTAGTAAGTCAATTCCATCAACTTATTTTGAGTTATAAACTAGTATGAAACCTAATTTAAGACATTTACATATTTAGGATTCCCTAAAAAGATAAGGGTTTTTAATTTACATAAAAAGAATTTTGATTCAAAGACTATTTCTAGGTATTTTATTATTTATTCACAGATTTTATTATCGTAATCATAGTACAAGAATAGTTAAAACAGGTAATATAATATTTCTAAAAAATAACAAATTAGTAGGAATGAAAATCTCAAAATTTAATCTTAATATTAAGAAAATACAAGTTGATACTCCTTTATCATTTTATATTTAAGAGATTGTTGTTCCTCAAGTCACTAAAAGAATTGATGATGAGAAATAACAAAATAACATTGATAAACTCTCATATGATGTTAATGTCATCACTAATGATCTTGTAGAATAATCACAACCAATAGTTTTAAGAAAATCTAAAAGGAAAGAAGATCTGTCATTTCTAATTATTATTTGGTAAATCTACAAGAATCAGATCATGACATAAGAATTAAAAGATCCCTCATTATTTTCACAAGTTATAAAAAGTAACGATCCTGAAAAGTGTTATGATACGATAAAAAAAGATTTGAAATCAATAGACTAGAATAATATTTGAGAACTCATCAAATTGCTCAATTACTGTAAAAGAGTTGATTGTAAATAACTATTTCGAATAAATTATGACTCAAAAGATAATATCGAACGATATAAAAGTTAAACCTGTGGTCAAATGTTTTACTCATAAAGAATGCATCGACCATAACGATATATTTTTTTAGTTTTTTAAATAAACTCGTTAAGAATCGTCATAAAATTAGTAACTTATTATGATTTTAAGTTACATCAGATGAATATAAAAACAACTTAAAGAGAAATCTGGATAAAAAACTTTATATGGATTAACCTAAACGATTCACAGAGAAAATAAAAGTAATGTAAAATTTGATATGAAAATTTAGGAAAATCATTTAAAACTTTAAACAAGCTTTTAGATAATGATATCTAAAGTTTCATAATACCATTATTTTTTTATATTTAAAAAATATATTAATCAATGTTAAAATCTGAAGGTAGTGGGAGCAAGTTCATTATACTAGTCTTATATGTGGATAATATTTTGCTTATCAGTAGTGATCTTGATTTTTCATACTGAACTAAGAAATTTCTTACTAAGAATTTTAAAATGATTGATATGAACTTATATTATTGGTATTAAGATATTCAGGAATATAATTTAAAGGTTGCTATGATTATCTCAAAAATGATATATTAATCGAATCTTAGAGAGATCTAGTGTAAAATTTTGTTTAGCAAATGTCAAAAGTAGAATTTTCAATCAAAACAAGTACTTTTAAAAATAACTTGGAAGAGAATCAAATGAAAGAAAAATATTATTTTTGTATGTGCAATTAGAAGTCTATTATATGCTTAAGCCTAACCAAACCAGATATCAATTTTGTAGTTGATATACTAGGTAGATATTAGAGTTAACTTAAGAATAAAAAATTAAAAAAGCTATAAAGAAAGTAATAAGATAAAATTTTTAAACAAAAGATTATATACTCACATTTATGAAATTAGATCAACTTGAAATGATGATGTTTTCAGATACTGATTCTGTAAATTACCTCAATAGTAGAAAGTCCACTTCATGTTTTATATTTATCAGTTGAAAGGATAATTTATAGGAAAAAATATAAAGTAATTTATTATTATATTATCAACAATATAAGTTAATTTTTTGGCATGCTTTGAGACTATTAATCAAGCTTTACGATTGAATAATTTTATCTCAAGACTTGGTATTATCAAATTTAATTGCTAAGTCATTGAAAATACTTTATGACATATCACAGTAGTTTTCTTCTCTAAGAATGACAAGTACCCTAACAATTCTATCCATTATGATATAAAGTACCTGATGGTCAGAGAAAAGAGTTCAGAAATAATTAATATCAATTAAGAACTTGAAGTTTATTGTATTGATTGTTGATCCATTCACTAAGATTTTATAGCCTAAAATATTTGAAAAACATACTCTTATAATTGGATTTTTGAGCAACCCATAAAATTATATGGTGTATGTTTGAGTGAACATTATAATTAGTATTTTTTTATGTAATTAAAATTATTTATTTTTGTTATCCTGTTCATATTTATGTTTGTAGATATTCTAGTTAAATATATAGAATATGATTGTCTTGACAAAATAAATTATAATAATCATTTTGCATTACGTTATGAAGGGCTAATAGTGTTGTGTTACTAAAAGGAAGTATGACATTGATGATATACAATCGTTATGATTCGTATTGGTAGTCAGACCTAATATGATATGATTATATTTATTAGATTTATTAGTCTATTTTATAAAATTCATATGCATATTAAAATATTTTTTCAAATTTTTAGAATCTAATTAAGTAAAATTATTTTTTATATTATATTTTATTTATTTTGATTTTAAATTTCTTCTATATCTTATCAATTAATAAGCTAAGTAAGAAAATATTATATTATATGACCCTATCAAATTATATAAGATATATTATAGATTTAATTGAATTTTGATTACGATTATCGATCAACAGAAATAAATACTAATTATAGTAAAATTTTTTGGGATGATCTTGATAGAAGAACTCTCCTGATTACTATGCTAGATCCTTTTCTCTTGCCTATAAAGTGCAGGACTTCCTAGGGACGAAAGATCCAATGAACGATGAAAAAGAGAAAGACGAGTTTAGTTTTCTTATTAAAAAAAGAGAAAGACGAAACATCAGGACTTCCTAGATCGACATCATTATAACTTTCGGATCCGATGATAATGTTCCTACATATTAGATAAAGGCTTTCTAAATGATATCGAAAAATAAGTATCGTAAATTTGATATATCATTATTTGATTTGATGTTAAATTTTTTCACATAACAGTAACACAATCACAATTTTTATGCTTACACAACCGCCTACTATAAACTATATTTTGGTAGGCACCACTGGAACCTACTTGTTTCTCAGTTCCCGGCAATCCAATTGCCAAAATTAGGCAGTCAAATTCAGGATACGAAGTGCTTGCAACTTTCACAGTAGGATGGCTACATCGTGAAAAACAAAAATCCAAGAAAGTGTCTAGTTTCAACATGAAATCGGAAGGACTACAAGAACCGGAGAGAGAGAGAGAGCGCATACCATAAGGAGACTCGAGGCTTCGAGTAGTTTTAGGCCTCGCCGACGTAATCCCGGGCTTAGTGGTAGAGAAGAACAAGACGATCGCCTTAAGGAAGGCCTTGAACGAGCTCCGCTTAGGCGCCGAAGACGTGCTGCCGGCCGTGGCTGCTGAGGACGCGAAGGAGGCGGCGGAGCTCCTCGAGGTTTCCCATCGGTCGGGGGTCGCGATGAAGGAAGCCCTGCTATCGACGGCTCTCGGATTCGGCCCTCTGGGCTGCGAGCTGGATCTCCGCTGCATCGGAGGCGCGGACGCCGAAGGGGTCTCGGGAGCAGCTGCCGCGAAGTGCAAGTCTCCAAGATGCAACTTTAAGCAGGGTCTCGTCTAACGTGGGCCCCAGTAGAAATGAAGTCCTGAGCGGAGGATCCCCTCCAATGCTAAGTATAAGACTTCGGGCCTAGATAACGCATCACAACCGTAGTAGAGCCATCTGAACGGTCGAACTGTAACTATATCGTTGCAATGCTTGGGGAGGATCCGTCCAGCTCTTAAAGAGTGGGCTCCAACTCAGACTTGTCTCCACCAAATAGAAAGGTTTCGATTGAATTGAGGCAACGACTCATCTTGATAAATAGCTATTGAGATCCGTTGAAATTTCAAATGTTCCATTGCTTTTGAATGGGCGACTCATATTAATAAGAATAGATTATTTTATGATGAGTTAATTAAAGAAAATCTCAATCACATTAAATATTCTGCACCGTCAAATCTACATTACGATTGGTTGTTTATCTAAGAATAAAAAAATGCTTAACATAAAATACTAATGAACTCACTGCTCTCACTACAATAAATATACTAATACCAAACATTTTATAACGAAAATAATAAATTTTACATCTTGTTTTCACTTACTGAAAATAAAAATCATTATACAAATATTTTTTTTGAAAATAATAACACAACTTACTGACATTGTTCCATCAGATCCACCGGCTACAAGCAAGACTATAATTTCCTACGCTCGCGCTGCATAAGGTCTATTTGCATATGTCAAATCAAATCAATTTGGCAAAGGATATGTAAGCAATCCAATCCGTTGGTTTGTGACGTTGAAAGATGCATGATGATGACTTTTCATCTTCCCAGTCCAAACCACCTCATAAAAATCTCTTCATATAATATTTACCCGATCGCCTACTCCCGTGATTGGAACCAGCGCGTAGATACCAAATAGAGTGTCTTCATTCTGAGGTTTGCACATTACTTTGTCCAGTATTCAAAGTGCCTGCGTTCACATGTAACCCCCCCTGCATCCATTGTCTGTAACCTGCTAAACACGAAGCATTGCGGAAGAACGAACGAAGACTTGGACGAATTTTGCAAATATGCAGAGCTAAACTAGCTGAAGTTACATGATAAATATTCCATGCAATCTGATCTACGTTAGGAAGTTTGCAGTATACAGTATGTAATAAATACTTCTCTTTTGTTGAGTACAGAAGTTTGTATGCTGATTGCGTTGATACTTGATAGTACCACTCAATTGGTGAGAAACCTAATTAACCAGTGTAACCATCAATAAATGTACAAGAGGAAAACAACTGCAGATGTCGGACACAACTCACACCAGGGAAGTTAATGCACTGCCCGGATCAAATATCAGAATAATAATTAATCTCAAGAATACTACCCTCTATCACAATGAACATTATCATTGGCCCAATGAACAAAAACATCACAATTAGTGAATCAACGCAATGAACATATGCCAAAAAGAAAAGGAGAAACAAAATGGATCACAATGACCAGCATCAGATTTCACTTGTTCACATTGAGAAGCTATGCAAATGGAATAAAGCAAACAAACCAACAAAATGCAGAAAGGATTGCTTGGCACAAGCCTATACCAGCTGCATTGACAATAGAATATTCATCTGCTTACTGGCTAACACAGGGGAACAAAAAAGGATTTACGTGATAACAGTTTGAAGCAGATATTATGATCATTTGCCTTTTTTTGCTGTAAATGCTCCATGATAGGCAATTCAGAAGAATTTAACCCAAAACAGCTACACTTTCACCCAACATTTCAATTGCTTTTAGAAATATTCACTTTCAGGGACGACTCATGCATAGAAGAGACAGACAGTTTCATCTGGATGAGTAACTATTGTACAGGGTTGACCAATAAAAGCTCTTAATCAGGAGCCACCACATCATACATGTTGTCAATCATCATTATCTGCAAAGTCACACCATGAACATAATGAACAATTTGCAAGGCAAGCAGTAGACCAGATAAATCAGAATCTAAAATCCATCAAAATTTTGCTGCTTAATTTTTTGTGAGCAAATCAAAAATACCATCTGAAAACAAAAAATTAGGCATCAAATTTAAGAACATGCCACAAATACCAAGGAATTGACATATATCTCTTCTGATTTCTTGGTAGGCAACTTCATTGCTAGATTATTTGGATTCTGAAAATGGATAGCAAAACTAAATGCTAAATTGCTAAAAGAAAAAAGAAAAAGGGAAATTTTTTTTATCAGGATTCAATGTGATTATCTTTAGAACTATCTTTTATAAACACAGATATAAATGCAAAATGCCAATACTGCATAGAAACAAATGAAACTGCACCTGGAGATAAAGGTTAAAATAATATATTTTGATCACAGATCGCACAGGTATAACTTCTCTCCATCCATTCAAGAACACAAGACAAATGGAAATGGTGTTCACATTGGTCATAACTCGAGGGTTCTGTACATCATAATCTGTCAAAAAGGAATTCATTAGATTTGTCAGACACGAGTATACAATATACAATGTTCCTTGAAGTAATTCTCCTTGGTCAATACCAAAATATTTTCAGCTTAAGACTCAACACTTAACATATGGAACAACAAATGATCTAGAGGGAAGATGTGTTCAAATGGAATGAAACATATTTTTAGAAAAACATGTTTGCCTAAGACTTAAAAGCACTATCAATCATGAGACATTTACTTTGATAGAACAAGAAACTATGAATCTCAAATCCTTCAATTTCATATATTTCCAATGCCGGCAACATAAAATGGTAAAGATGGTCTCTGTATGTGGAGAGAATACTACCTTCAAGGCAAATGGGGCAGACATCCTCCTCTGTAGGTGAGATAATGGGCTTACTGACCTCATCTTCAGTAATCCTACGAGAATTTTGCTCACAATCAGTTTTATTCTTGCAGTCTGAAGTTTTGAGAGTATCATTAGTTTCTCCTGTTGTCTGTGAATTTGCTAGCTGTATATGATCATTTTTGGAGCCACAACTATCAACAGCTCTAGCCAAAGTTTGTGAGCTTGCCAAACCCAAATCATAAGGCAAAGGTGCAGGAGGTGCTTGGTAAGTGTTGGGAGCTGATGTGTCCAGATTAGTATCAACAAGTAGTCCTGAAGAGATTGCAGACAATGTACCATGGTTGGTTGATGACAATGGTTCGTGCTCTCCAAGTTTTGGGGACACTACAGAAACGCACCAAAAAGTTTTAGAATACATAATTTTCCTTAATAGTAATGATTTTGTTACTAGAAATTCATGTGTAAGAACTGCGAAGCCTTTTAATGCAGCACAGGTTATATCAATGAGCAATATGCAATAACCAGAATGAGACTATGTACAACTAACAAATTGATGTAACTTGGTTTTAGTACAACTTTTGTTTAGTCCAGTTTGAACTGATTCTGACAAATAGGTCATATCTGGTAAACTTTCGTTTTGGATTCTGTTCTATATTGTCCAATAATTTTAGATGATTAACATTTACACTTGCTAGGCAGCATCCAATCTACAGTTCGATAAGCCGATTCAAATTTTACTGACTTTAGCAGCACTTTTATCGAGTTTAAACTTTAAAGTAATAAGATGAAAATCATTTTAGAATTGTACTTGAGCTTAAAGCAGGAAAAGATGAAACTGGATCTGCATTTCTAGTAGGATTCCTTACTAGCTTTCCATCGATAAAGACCTTTATGACCATACAACCTTTATAAGAATAGCGTAACATGTATGATTGTTTTTTATTGACAGATAAGTTATTTCTTAGCCTAGCAAGTATTATTATTTTCTCTGTTACAATCTCTACACTTCTTCCATGTTATTGTTCAAGGATTTATTCATTTACCTTGCTGTGACTCCTTTATTAATTTTTTTTCATAACATATAACACAAAAAAAAGAAATCAAGATATGTTTGTGGACGATGGGAAATATATTAAAGCTCGCACATGGTTTTAAGTAAATGATTTCCTACTATATAATCTGAGCAGACATCCCTTTCCATGACTTTGTAAGGAGAGAGGAACATTTTACAAAAATCATGGCTCATCACATAAACACGATTATTTGTCCACAGCACAGAAGAGAGAGAGGGAGGGAGAGAGCTACGCATCTTGAAAGGAGTGGCGAGGTGGTCACAGCAAGGAAGAAGAAGCAGCAAGGAAACAGAATAAAAGGAGTGGAAGAGGTGAACAAAGATGTAAAGGGAAGAGAAGGAGAAACAGAAAACAAGGGATTGAGGGCGAGAAAGGGGAAGAAAAGGTGTCTGGGGTCCCACACCAAGAAACAGACATACAACTCTCTATCAGTCAGCTTATCTCTCGATTCAAAACCAAACCGGTCATCGAACTGATAAGTAACAGTTTGTACCAATTGGTATGACTATTTTTTGATCCTTCACGTGACCAATAGATACAAGCTTCCTTCCGAATGGAGAATATCATCTTAAGATAAGATGCTATAATATCTGGGTCATGGTACCATACTGATATGAGCTTGAGTATTGTTAATAACAGAGTGCTGCTTAAGCATATCGCAGAACAACTAGGCACCATAAAAAAAGTATATTCCACTACATAAGATCACACATACTCTTGTTACTTTGAATCTCCTAATTCCATGCTAATATTTGTGTTTACCAGATCATCCAAATTATATACATTATAATAATCCAAGCTTATTAACATAATTTAACATGAATTTTCTCTCCAACGCTGCTAAATCTACTGTCAAGTTTGCAGATACAACTATAGTTTCACATTTAGCATAGCTTGGTAGTTGGTATTATCTTGTTTAAGATCAAGATTGTCATATTCTTATTCTTTTCAAGGCTATGACATCAAAACTGAGAATAATGCATGTCATAAACTTATAAAAATGATGGAATATTTAGGTTAGCTTTACATGCTTGTAAGACAAACAGTTCATCAAAGAATTTGAAGCATCCAAGCAATCCAAATTGCATAACTTGACACCAGATCAACTTACATCATGAGAAGAGAAATGTGTGAC